GTTGATTCTGGAAATACATTAAAACGCTATGTGTTAGGATGAGACAATTATATTGTTTTGTCCTAAATTCCAGTAACTTTGTTGCAGCACATTTGCTACTATGTTACATTACACCTAGTAGAGACCACTAACACTGTAAAATCAGGAAGGAAATGAACATCTCAAGGAGATAATGACCCCTATGCACAAAGCCAAGACCACACTGAAGAGATTAAACCAAAACCATAACTCATGGGCTACAGAAGTGCAGAAACAGGCTAAATAACTAATAAGTGTACATTTTCATTAAGCATGCCTTTAAATAAAAAGATTGAAAATTGACAGTTGATTTTGATCGCCGTATATATTAAAAACATAAGATTATTTTTCAAATTTATTTTAAAGAACTGTGAGTTTTCTGACTATGAAAGTTCATCATTCCCTATTAAATAATTTAACCATTAGTTGCCCTTAACCCTGAGTCCTTGATCTAACATTCAATGCTTCTAAACAAACCATAGCTGTCGTATTCCTCTTGTCATACTTCACCAACCCATAAGCTACACCTAAACTTATAGGAGTGCTCTAAACAACATAGATTAGTGTATTGGTTTGGTTGCCAGATGTCTCTGGGCATCTTCCTTTTTTGGGGTTTATGTCAAACTCTTGGGAGAAGGTTGACAAAGCAAAGAGCCCCCCAGGGTACAGTAGCCTACCCTGTCTGCAGCTTCTCTGATAATTTAAATGTTCCCATGATCAGTGTTACATGAATCCAAACTGGATGGAGGCATTTGGCTGAGAATGCTGGTGGCCAAGGAAAGGTGGCCATTGACATAAATGGTTTGACAAAGAATCATTATGATGCCCAGAGACTATTAGTAAACCTACAGGGTGGTGTATACTGTACTCTGTGCATTCAAATGAATACCAAGTAGTTTTCACATAGTTTTGACTACTACTACATGAACAATATATTGTAACTTTACCCTATTTATTGTCATTTTTTTTATGTCAACTCTAGGTTCAGGAATACAATCATGTAGTCCTGGCACTATAGGGTTAAACTAATTATTTAGGTCTCCAGGCCCCATCCGATCAAATGGGTAAGGTGAGTTTATTCACCCTTTTTCTTACGCCGCACTAGACTCGCCACAACTGGCTCTGTCTGGTTATGCCTCCATGGGTGACATAATTACTCTTAGTGATCTCAGCCAATCCAATTCTTTCCCATAGTAAACAATTGGGAGACTATAGTGCATGCGAGGCAAAATGCCACACTGCAACAATCAGCATCTCTTCATAGAGGTGCATTGAATCAGCGTATCATTAAGGGGGGCGTTCAGCATCTCCATGCCAAGCATGGAGATGCTGAATGTAGGTGCTGCACACTGTGTCGCACTAAGATAGAAAGCATCTCTAGTGGCCGTCTGAATGAATGCCACTAGAGGGTTTACTAGGCAGGGACAGACTAGTCGTATTCCTCTTGTCAAGCTGCTCCTGAACACCAGATATACTACATTAAGCTCTAGTAGTTCTGGTGACTAAAGTGATGCTTAAATATTTTTTTTAAATGGATCAAGCTCTTTTGCACCCTATACAATGACTGTGCCATGAAAGCAAGGAATCTAATGCATAAAATAAAACTGCTAATCTTTAAAGTCAGATCTCCCCTTTGATCATGAAGCTGTTACTCCACATATTAAAAATGATATCCCTGAATAATTTTTTTGCAAATATTCATCTAGTTACTGCTTAAATACTATCTAATACTGTCCTTACCTTTTTTGTGTCATTTTACCCCACTCCCTCTAGCATGTAAGCTCATTGAGCAAGGCCCTCAACCCCTCTGTTCCTGTGTGTCCAACTTGTCTGGTTACAACTATATGTCTGTTCGTCCACCCATTGTAAAGCGCTGCGGAATTTGATGGCGCTATATAAATATCATAATAATAATAATAAAATATCTGTACAGACGCTAATAAAACAATATTTTCAGGGAGAGAATTCTGCATCCTTATTGTTCTTATTGTAATCATCCTTTTCCTTTGCCTTCAACTAAATCTCTTTTTCTTCCAGTCTAAATGTGTGATTTTGTGTCCTATGTATACAGGTGATACTCGAAAAATTAGAATATCGTGCAAAAGTTCATTTATTTCAGTAATGCAACATAAAAGGGGAAACTAATATATGAGATAGATGCATTACATGCAAAGCAAGATAGTTCAAGCCGTGATTTGTCATAAGTGCGATGATTATGGCTTACAGCTCATGAAAACCCCAAATCCACAATCTCAGTATATTAGAATATTGTGAAAAGGTGCAATATTCTAGGCTCACAGTGTCCCACTCTAATCAGCTAAGTAAGCCATAACACCTGCAAAGGATTTCTGAGTCTTTAAATGGTCTCTCAGTCTGGTTCAGTAGGAATCACAATCATGGGGAAGACTGTTGACCTGACAGTTGTGCAGAAAACCATCATTGACACCCTCCATAAGGAGGGAAAGCCTCAAAAGGTAATTGCATAGGAAGTTGGATGTTCCCAAAGTGCTGTATCAAAGCACATTAATAGAAAGTTATGTGGAAGGGAAAAGTGTGGAAGAAAAAGGTGCACAAGCAGCAGGGATGACCGCAGCCTGGAGAGGATTGTCAGGAAAAGGCCATTCAAAAGTGTTGGGGACTTTCACAAGGAATAGACTGAGGCTGGAGTCAGTGCATCAAGAGCCCGGATCCTGGACATGGGCTTCAGATGTCGTATTCCTCTTGTCAAGCTGCTCCTGAACAACAAACAATGTCAGAAGCGTCTTTCCTGGGCTAAAGAAAAACAGACCTGGTCTGTTGCTCTGTGGTCCAAAGTCCTCTTTTCTGATGAGAGCAACTTTTGCATCTCATTTGGAAACCAAGGACCCAGAGTATGGAGGAAGAATGGAGAGGCACACACTGTAAGATGCTTGAACTCCAGTGTTAAGTTTCCACAGTCTGTGTTGATTTAGAGAGCCATGTCATCTGCTGGTGTTGGTGCTTCATTAAGTCCAGTGTCAACGCAGCCATCTACCAGGAGATTTTGGAGCACTTCATGTATCCTTCCACAGAAGAGCTTAATGGGGATGCTGACTTCATTTTCCAGCATGACTTGGCACCTGCCCACACTGCCAAAAGCACCAAATCCTGGTTCAATGACCATGGGATTACTGTGCTTGATTGGCCAGCAAACTGGCCTGACCTGAACCCCATATAGAATCTATGGGGCAGTGCCAAGAGAAACATGAGAGACATGAGACCAAACAATGCAGAAGAGCTGAAGGTCGCTATTGATGCATCCTGGTCTTCCATAAAACCTCAGCAGTGCCACAGGCTGATAGCTTCCATGCCACACCGCATTGAGGCAGTATTTGCTGCAAAAGGGGCCCAAACCAAGTACTGAGTCCATATGCATGCTTATACTTTTCAGAGGTCCGATATTGTTCTATGTACACTCCTTGTTTTATTGATTGGATGTAATATTCTAATTTACTGAGATTGTGGATTTGGGGTTTTCATGAGCTGTAAGCCATAATCATTGCACTTATGACAAATCACGGCTTGAACTATCTTGCTCTGCATGTAATGCGTCTATCTCATATATTAGTTTCCTCTTTTATAGAAGGTTAGTTAAGTTAAGTTAGTGTGACATGGCCTATGTTTCATAAAACCATGTTGATTTTCGCTAATAACAATTTTCTTCCCAAGTTGTTTTATGGGCTCTATAGCTCCCAGTAGTGCCCCCCTACCTCCCGTGGTGCAAAAGGCGGGGGAGAACTAATGTGCATGCGCAGCAATGGCCGCACTCACATTATGATTTCCCCATAGAAAAGTATTATACAATGCTTTCCTATGTAGATTCACATGACGCTGGATATCCTCATGCATAGCGTGCACCAAAACCGGAAGGAACGACCCGGAAGTCCATCTAGTGGCTATTTGGTAGAGGTAACACAAAGGTAATTATTGTAGTTAATTAAAAACTGCAATAATTACCTTTGCTGGGTTAAGGGGACTGGGACAGTGCACCCAGACCACTTCATGAGCTCACTTAGTTCACTTATTTTCAAGCTTTACTCCCTAGGCACTTGTGGGTGAATACCATCAGGCCATGGAGCGTTGTTTACATTGTATTCTTTAGTTGCAGCAGCACCTTGTCTTGAGTCATCCAATCACAATTTTTGTGCACGTTTCTGCAGCAATCATGTGCATATCTCTTGCCATAGGTCCCTCTTAAAGGGACACTCCAGACCCCTAAAGCACTTTAGCTTGCTGCAAAGTTGTATGTGTGAAGAGTGTGTCCTCTTTTTTAATTTTGGAAATAGTGGTGATTTCAATAGAAATCAATATTTATAAATTATACTGGTTACACCCAGGGGCGTTTTAGCCGCGAGGCAAACAAGGCATTTGCCTTGGGCGGCATTTTTCAGGGGGCGGCAAAAAAGCCGCCCCCCAAATGCCCAAGGCAAATCTCTTGTTAGCCTCGCGGCTAACACACATGCTGGGCACTGGGCGGCGCTGGGCAGCATTGGCGGGCGGGCGGCTGGCGAGGGAGCTCTTCCTGTGAGCTGACTGCTCAGCTCCCTCGCGCGCCGCAGAGTGAGGCTGGGAGCCGGGTTGATGACGTCATATTCCGGCTCCCAGCCTCACTCTGCAGCGCGCGAGGGAGCTGAGCAGACAGCTCACAGGAAGAGCTCCCTCGCCAGCCGCCCGCCCGCCAATGCCGCCCACCCAGCAGCCACTGGACCACCAGGGAGATAGAGAACCCCTTCCCTCCCCAGCACTCCCAAAGGTAAGGGGGCTGGAGGGGGGGGGAGGTTTAAAAAGTACATGTGTTAATGTGAGTGTGTGTGTCTGTTAGTGTGTGTGTGTGTGTCTGTTAGTGAGTGTGTGTGTGACTGTTAGTGAGTGTGTGTGTGTCTGTTAGTGAGTGTGTGTGTCTGTTATTGAGTGTGTGTGTGTGTGTCTGTTAGTGTGTGTGAGTGTGTCTGTTAGTGAGTGTGTGTGTGTGTCTGTTAGTGAGTGTGTGTGTGTGTCTGTTAGTGAGTGTGTGTGTGTCTGTTTAACAGACACACACACACACTCACTAACAGACACACACACTCACTAACAGACACACACACACTCACTAACAGACACACACACACTAACACACACTCACTAACAGACACACACACACTCACTAACAGACACACACACACACACTAGTGAGTGTGTGTGTCTGTTAGTGAGTGTGTGTGTCTGTTAGTGAGTGTGTGTGTGTGTCTGTTAGTGTGTGTGTGTGTGTCTGTTAGTGAGTGTGTGTGTCTGTTAGTGAGTGTGTGTTAGTGAGTGTGTGTCTGTTAGTGAGTGTGTGTGTGTGTCTGTTAGTGAGTGTGTGTGTGTGTCTGTTAGTGAGTGTGTGTTAGTGTGTGTGTCTGTTAGTGAGTGTGTGTGTCTGTTAGTGAGTGTGTGTGTGTATGTTAGTGTGTGTGAGTGTGTCTGTTAGTGTGTGTGTCTGTTAGTGAGTGTGTGTTAGTGTGTGTGTGTCTGTTAGTGTGTGTGTGTGTGTCTGTTAGTGTGTGTGTGTCTGTTAGTGAGTGTGTGTGTCTTAGTGAGTGTGTGTGTGTCTGTTAGTGTGTGTGAGTGTGTCTGTGAGTGAGTGTGTCTCTGCTAGTGAGTGTGTGTGTCAGTGAGTTTGTGTTTCTGTTAGCTAGTGTATGCATATCTGTCAGTGAGTGTGTGTGTATTTAGAAGGCGGGGGAAGAGATGGGTGGGGGTCGCGCGCGCGCGGGGAAGGGATGGGTAGTGGTCGCGCGCGCGCGCGGGGAAGGGATGGGTAGTGGTCGCGCGCGCAGGGGGGATTGGGGGGCGCCTGAGTTTTGTCCTGCCTAGGGCAGCCCAAAACCAGGATACACCACTGGTTACACCCCACTTGCTTTTCAAGCAGACAATAGGTCGTTACTTCCTGGTTTGGTTAGCTTATTTGCACTGAAGTCAAGAGGCAGCAAGTGTCCAGAGCCACTGCCTTGCAATATTGAATGTAAATTATTAGTCTGCCCTAATTAATGAGGCACAGCTTTTGTGTGCTTAAATAAAAGAGACATTATACTAAATTAAATGCTACAATGTCCAGTTTAAATCAATGTTTTCTGTTTTTAAAGAACAAGAAAAAAAATATATATAAAAAGGCCCTTAGGACTTATTTTGGCATACAATAGTGGTATAATTTTACTAGCCTTGGTCTTGAGGAACAGAAGGCAAAAGGCTATAAACCTTTAGTAATAAAACAGACAAACAGTAAAAGAAATAAAGGACAAAGGATAAACAATAAGAAAACCTCACAAATATAATAAACTCGTTTCCTGTGGATTCTAAATTCCCTTTTCTGGCAGTTAATTATTCTCAAGAAATTGAGTTTGGTGTTTATTATCTATAACAGTCACCCAAAGCAAAAAAAAATGTGTTTGCAGAATTATAAAAGTGTACATGGACTATGAAACAAATGTTCTCCTATTTCCTTCAAGAGTAATAATTTGTACTTACACTGACTTGCTCTGACATTTACAGGAGAAAAAAGTTACTGGGTGTCAGCCAGGCCCAAGAAAATGGCGGAATGGTCTGTAAACCATATTGTTAAGAAAGTTTAGGAACCTATGCCGTATTGTTAAAAAAAATTCCTGCTGTAAAATAAAGTAGTAATTGCAGGGCATGTTATTATCAATGCACAGACCTACCATTGAAGAACATTTAATGCGAAATAAAACACGTGAAAACAGTGTAGATAGCTCTTCTAAATACTAACACTGTTATTTACTATAGTGAGAATTGCTGTGAATTCACAGAGAATGTTACATTTAAGGCAAATTAGAAGATTAGCCAGATTAGAAAAAGTCTTCCAGTAAACTATTCTTCCAGTTTGAATACTTTGACCTTCAATTGGAAATTCACTTTAACTTCCTGACACTTCTCACAAAAAACATGGGGCAAGATCTGAGTGGGGACCCACCAAGGGGCAGGCTATTTGAATTGTTGTCAATTCTCAGTAATCTCCTGCACCTTGTTTTATTTGCCTTCCCTAAATTTAAAGGGTAATCCAGATGTGGACACCTTGCTAATCAGCTATGCTTCACTGACGGGGCCTAGCAAAGGATTTCTCCCAAAGGGAAAAAGAAGGTGGAGGGAAGTTGGAGCACTGTTAGACAGTCAGCTGGCTGATCAGACTGCAGTGTGGGAGGAAAGGGGGTGAAGAGGGCTGACCAGGGCCGGCGCTACCAGTAAGGGGCGTCACCAGGAGCACCGGCCCCCCCATGCTGCAGCCGCCCGAGCGCTCTGTAGAGAGCCTCAGGCGGCTGCAGCTTTGCCCGGGCTGGTGCTTCCATGAGGGCGGACCACACCGCCCGGGCGCAGCCTGAGGAGAGGCTGACAGGAGGGAAGCGCTCAGCGCTCAGCGCTCCCTCCTGTCAGCTCCCTCACTGTAGCGTGGCCGAGCCCTGCAGCATTGATAGTCCGCGGGTACAGAGAGCAGCTGTCTCCTGTACCCGGCCGGACTAACAGGAAGTGCACACTGAGTGTTCACTTCCTGTTAGTCCGGCCGGGTACAGGAAACAACAGCTCCCTGTACCCGCGGACTATACTAGGCTATGCCACGCTACAACACAGGTAGGGGGGAGGGGAGAAGAAAGAAACAGAGAGGGAGGGGGGAGAAGAAAGAAACAGAGAGGGAGGGGGGAGAAGAAAGAAACAGGGAGGGAGGGAGAGAAGAAAGAAACAGAGAAGGAGGGAGGGGAGAAGAAAGAAACAGAGAGAGAGGGAGGGGGAGAAGAAAAAAAAGAGGGAGGGGGAGAAGAAAGAAACAGAGGGAGGGAGGGGGAGAAAGAAACAGGGAGGGAGAGAGGGGGAGAAAGAAACAGGGAGGGAGAGAGGGGGAGAAAGAAACAGGGAGGGAGGGAGGGGGAGAAAGAAACAGGGAGGGAGGAGGAGAAAGAAAGAAACAGGAGGGAGGGGAGGAGGGAAAAGAAACAGGAGGAGAGAGGAGGAGGGGGAGAAGGAAACAGGAGGGAGGGAGGGGCAGAAAGAAACAGGGAGGGAGGGAGGGGGAGGAAAGAAAGAGGGAGGGAGGGGGGAAGAAAGAAACAGAGAGGGAGGGAGGGGGGGAGAAGGAAACAGGGAGGGAGGGGGAGAAGGAAACAGGGAAGGAGGGAGGGGGGAGAAGGAAACGGAGGGAGGGGGAAGAAAGAAACAGGGAGGGGGGAAAAAGAGGGAGGGAGGGGGGAGAAGGAAACAGGGAGGGAGGGGGAGAAGGAAACAGGGAGGGAGGGGGAGAAGGAAACAGGGAAGGAGGGGGAAGAAGGAATCAGTGAGGGGGAAGAAATAAACAGGGAGGGGAGGGGAGGGGGGAAGAAAGAAACTGACAGGGGAGGGGGTAGAAAGAAACTGACAGGGGAGGGGGAGACATTGACAGGGAGGGGGGAGTGACATGGGAGGAAGGGGGAATGAGAGTAACAAGGGGGGGGGAGAAGAGAGTGACAAGGGAGGGGGGAGAGATTGACATCCATCACACACACACACAATCACACACAATGCACCCCTTACACACAAAGACAATGAACCACTTGCACACAGAAAAACACACAATGCATTACACACACACACACACACACACGCAATGCAACCCTTACACACACTTCATCCCTTACATACACAGAAACACACCTTGCAGCCCTTACACATACAAACACAGATTCACACAATGCATTCCTTACACACAAATCAGGACATTCCCTACACACTCCATCCCCTGTGAACAAACTCATTGGTGGAAAATGAAGGTGGACCCTGGGACCCAGACCTTGAGCTGTGTAAAGGGCCCCCAAAAAATGGAGCTGCTCTCCCAGAACATTGATTTGTGTGACCACAGTTACAAACAGCCTCCAGAGATCCTGTTATACACCAGACCAGTGGAGCCAGACTGCAGCTAGAGCCCATCATCATCCTCATCTGATTGTAAGTAGGTAATCTAGTATATTATTCGTGCACTAATCTCTAATTTACCTCACATTAAAGAAACACTATAGTCCCCAGAACCACTGCAGCTTAATGTAGTGGTCCTGGTGTCTATAGTTTGTCCCTGCAGGCCTTTTAATGTAAACACGGCGGCACTGCAGCACTGGCACTAGTTAACATGGCAGATCATATGGGTGGGGCATTGGATGTCACGGGGGCGGCAAACTTTACTTTTGCCTAGGGCGGCAAAAATCCTTGCACCGGCCCTGGGGCTGACACAGCTTCTTAGCTCATGGGAGCTGCTGGCCACAGTATAAAGGATGAAAGGACACCCTCCCACCAAAAAGAGAACTAAAAAGGAGGGTGGCTCAGGCTGATATGGAGGTCAGAGCTGGCGGAGGGCAGAGGGCACAGTGTAAGTGTGCTATGACTCCTGGCAGCAGGCAGCACACTCTCCATTACTATGTGAAGCTGCATCATAATGGAGCAGGGAAGCAGCATGATGGCTGCTGTCAGGCGTTACAGCACACTATAATCACTACACCACTATGATAAATGTGTGAGTGTTTCTAACAGTGTGTATGTGTGTGACAGTGTGTATCTGTCTGCATGTATATGTGCATATGTGGCAGACAATTTGTGTTCCTGGCAGTGTATGTGTTACAGTGTGTGTGTATGTCACCATGTGTATGTCTCTGACAGTGTATTTTGGTGACTCTAGGATTGTATATATATATATATATATATATATATATATATACATATATATATATACACACACACACACACGCAATACACAAGATCCAGCGTACTCACTTATCCACTAAACAGCAACTTCAATGTTGCTGTTTAGTGGATAAGTGAGTGCGCTGGATCTTGTGTATTGTATAAATTGGCCACCAGTAGCACCCCATTTATGCATGTTCAGGTGAGTGCAGCCTCCTGGTTTCATATATATATATATATATATATTTGTGGTCAGAGACAATAAGCCGAGTTATAGTAGTGGTGGCATAAGTCGGTTGTGGTGTGCGGGAACCGACATTCAGGTAGGCCTGTAAAAAGATGGCCCACAAATTAAATGATTTGATCAAGGGAGCGGTGGGTGGGCTGAACCAG